GACTGATAAAGCCATGACCCATGTAGATCAGATGCAAGTATAGGAGGGGGCTTATGCTTATAAGAAGAGAGTAAGGGAGCACCACTTTCTGTAGGTCAGGGGTTAAGTCAAGTGACTTGTTACAAGAGCTAGGGCCTTGGTTTCTAACCATAGATATTTTTGGTGGGACAAGAAAAGATTATTTGGGGACTTCATATAAGGAACTCATTAAGTGATATAAATAAATCATTAAATGATTTGGATTAAATAATAATCCAAATGTGTATTAGTTTCTCTTGGGTACAGCACTGTCTCCAAGGGATGGTGGAGTGGCTCAAGTGGTAGAGCACCTGCCTAGCAAGCATAGGCTCTGAGTTCAAGCCCCAGTACTGCAATTAATAATAATAATAGGACTGTCTCTAAAAGTTTCTAGAACTTTCGAAATAAAGCACAAGGTAATACCCACTTCTTCCCTTCTTCCCACCCTCCCCCCTCCATTGGTTCCTTCTCACATATTATAAAGATACTTTCTTTTAACTTAATAGAAGCAATACAAAGTTTAAGGCTACTTTTAGAGTCTTGGGCTGGCAGCATGGCATAAGTGGTTACAGCTCCTGCCTAGCAAGCGTGAGGCCCCAAGTTTAAACCTATCAATAAAAAACCAAAAAGAAAAGAGTTTAAAAAAATAGAGTCCTTCTGTTCTTTCAACAGTGATGTTCAAATAATTTTGGCAGTACTGGGGTTTGAACTCAGGGCCTCACGCTTGCTGGACAGGAGCTCTACTACTTACGCTATTCTGCCAGTCCATGTTCAAATATTTTTGCTGTTAACCTTATCACTTAAAAAATGTCTGGGGCTGATAGTGAAGTTCAGTGGTAGAGCATCTGCTTGCCATTCATAAGGTTTTTGTTCCCTATGGTACTCAAAAAAACAAAAAAAGGAATTTCTGGAGATATACTCAAAATATGTTTATTTATTTATTATTTATAAGTATGATCATGCAACTACTATACAAATAATTATGAAATTTTAATCAAAGTGAAAACTGCAAAAGGATAAAATAAGGTGAAATTTAAAATATCTAACATTTAAATTATATTTGATTTTTAATGGTGCAAACATTTTTGCATTCTAAAACATTACTCTTAATGTCTCTGATAGGATCAATGTGGTTGATATGCTTTGTCATTTTTGGAAAAACCTTGGTTTGGTCTTGTGATGTAGCAATGAAATGTTCGGTTTGTTTTAATGCTTGTTTTCAAAGTCCATCACAACTGAAAAAGACAGTTCACACAGATTGCAGATCCAAATGTGAGAAAGGCTGCATTAGATGAGCTATGGTAATTCCCAAAATGCACTTCTCAATCCCATCTATCTTTTTGTGCTAAGACTTTTGTTGAAATTTTCTTGGGTTTTAAGCATGTTTTCGTTTTTGTAATGTGCTTACAGTAAGATGGAAACATTTCCAAACATCTGTTTTCAAAACCCTCTTGCCAGAGATTTAATTTGTTTTTGAAAAGAAATTAACATTCTCACTAATTATGAAAGTATTATTTCTACCTTGAAAGGATTTTTTTTTACTTTTTAAAAAACATCTAAATGACACACAAACAATAGCCAGTTGCCATGACAAGATGACAGCAGGTCTGCTGTCAAATCAGAAGGCACAGCTCATGCTTAAATTAACTGTCATGGGTCACTAGGGTGGAGCAAGAGACCTTTATACCCATCCCCCATCACAGCACACAGTGTGATAAAGATGTACTATTGGAAGGTTTGGTCTTTATGAAATTAATCACAATGATGACATCCTATACCAATGTAAATTGCAATTCTTGGCAAGATGCTGTCTCCAGAAGCATGCAAGATGTTTCTTGGACCCCTCCTCTATACAACTCACACTCTTTGCCGAAGTTGTCTGATTCCAGAAATGCTTGTTACACGAGACACTGGACCATCTCGCATTTGGACTGCAGAAGGCACGGTAAGCATTCAGCACTAAATATTAGTAAAGCTTAGTTGTGCTGTCATTTGAAATAAGCAAATAAGATAAATATTCTAGAATTTTCTCCCTGGACATAAATGAATTGTCTTGAGTAACTCATGGAAGGTGTGCACTTTACTTAGAGTCTCTATACAGAAGACTGTCTCCTGTTAAATTCAAAAACTTTTCTTTGCTTTCTGAACTATTCTTTCCTTGTTTTAAAGTAAAATCTCTGTCAATTCAGTCCTCATAGGGCTGTAGCCTCAAATGAGCTGGTGAGGGTTGCTCCGGGAAGGCCTGGCAGTTGTGCCCCTGCTCTAATCCTCTCCCTTAGTACCTGAGGCAGAGATGATAAAAATGAAAACATCTATGATTTCCATTTGCTATGCTATTTTTTTGTGTCAGTCCCTATGCTAAGTGCTCTGCAAATACAGTAATTCTCTTTGTTCGTGTAGTTGTGTTCTATAACATCTTTACAAACATTCACAAATTCTGAACCATTGCTCCTAGAGGAAATACAGGATTAGGTTTCTTCTGGTTTCTGGTTACAACATTCTTGTCAACTGATCAGTGTATAACTTTGCTTCTGAGTCACTTTACTTGGAATTGTTGGTTCATTTACATTGACTTAGAGCCGACACTACAACTAATGCCTGAACAAAGCTTACTTAACACTCAGTTTCTCTATAAGGCACATCACAGCCTTCTTGTGTTTAGGGATGCCAGGCAGTACTTAGGCACTATGCCTGGGACCATTTTAGACAGCAAAATCAGCAACAAAAAGCACAGAAAAGCAAATAACAGGCACCAAGCAAACCTTGTTTATAGTATGAATGGCAAAACAAGAAGGCAGAGGGTCACCTTTGTTTGACCACAACTGGGCATGTGTATATTAGACAGTTCAAATTTCTTGCCATTCTGTGTGTGACCCCAAAAGACAACCAGTATTGATTCTGAAGTTACAAATAAAGTTTTTGAGAATAGACTGCATTTACAAATACTGAATAGCTAGGGTCGAAATCTGATCTCATAGGTCCCTTGTAGAAAAGGTGCCACTACTTTGTGCATGAACTTGAAGGCACCTTTGAAATTTCCTCTTCTGGCTACCTCCTTTGAGATTTTGGGGGAGGCTGCTATGAAGAGATATTTTTTCTCAAAAATATCCAGTGCATGGTGGTTCAGGTGGGATTTAATTCCAGCCAATGTCAACCATCTTTCTACTACAAGTTTCTGAACCCCAATACGCCAATTTAACCTGCAGAAGGGGTTACATGAAAACTGTTTTGCATCCTCCTCTGCCCCAGTTGATTCTCTGCAATAATTAAATCTGGTTTTGACCAGAATGTCTGATTTGATGACTTCTAGTACATGAGCATAATGAACAATGCATCTTTAAAAAAAGGGAAGATCACCGACCTGAGTGAAATCAGGCACAAAATGAGAAATTAAAAGAACAAATTCAGTACTTGCAGCAAGTGAGTGGGGTTTAACATTTCAAATTTAATTCTCCACTGAGCCAATTCATAAGACTGGTAATAGCAGAGGGAAATAATGTTGAAAAGCCAAACGTGCTTTGGAATTTCACAGACTTGCTCACAGGATGCAAAACAGGAGAGATGGGTTGGGATGAGATCATTCAGTTGGAAAATCAAGAACGTATGTCTTTCTAAAAGTCTGTATTTTGGGGCCAGGTTATCTCAAAATTTTCAACAATGATATAATTACATTGCTAGGGACGTGGGTGTGTCCCTAGCAACGTAAGTGGGGTTGCTGGGGTGGGTGAGGTGTGTGGTTCAAGTGGCAGAACATCTGCCTTGCAAGCATAAGGCCCTGAATTCAAACCCTAGTACCACCAAAGAGAAATATCTGCAAAATAATTTTAAAATAAATAAACTTAGGTTATTTTTTATTTGGTGACAGGAAGTAGAGAATTTAAAACTTAAATTAAAATGACTCATCTAATGTGGACTGCAGGCTGTCTGATAAATGTATATACCTCAAATGAACCAACAAACTCAAAGAAAAAGAAAAGTAAGCTGGTGCCAGTGGCTCATTCCTATAATCCAAGCTACTAGGGAGGTAGAGATCAGGAGGATCACAGTGTGAAGCTAGCTGGGGCAAATAGTTTGTGAAACTTATCTCAAAAATACCAAACAAAAAAAGGGGATGGAGGAGTGGCTCAAGTGGTAGAGTGTCTGCCTACCAAGTGTGAGGCCCTGAGATCAAACCTCAATACTGCCAAAAAAAAGAAAAGAAAAGTGAAGGCAAATCAAGTATGTTTTCTGCATAAGATCCCTTGCTTATCATGATTTCATACGTCATTCCTTTTATATGTGAGATTTTCGTTTCAAAGACTCCCAAGCTACCTTTTATGCTAAGACTTTATATATTAAAAAATCTTTTCCCCATGACTGTTTTAACTTCACCCATTCCTGTGGGGGTGATAACAGCTATGCTTATCCAATAATATTTACCAAACACTTTCATATCCCTTATAAGGAAAAATGTTCTGTTATCTAAAGAACAAAGTGCTTTGCAACTTTATTCACTTATTGCACTTTTCACTCTCCTTGGGAAGGACAAAAATTCCTACTTAAAAACTCCAAATTGCCAGGAATGGTGGTTCATGCCTATAATCCCAACTACTCAGGAGGCAGAGATCAGCCTCATCAAAAAATAAGTAAGTTGTAGAGACCCTCATCTCAGCCAGTAAGCTGGGAGTATGGTGCATGCTTATCCCTGAGAGACAGAAGGCATAAATAAGAGGACAGCAAGCAGTCCTGGCTGGCCTGGGCAAAAGGCAAGACCCTATTAAAAAAATAACAAAGGTGAAAGAAGCCCTGCTTAACAAGCACAGGGCCCTGAGTTCAAATTCCAGTACTGCCAAAAAAAAAAAAACCCCAATCTCATTTATCCACTGTTGTCTGACTGAGTGCTACAGAATCCATTCTTTCCATTCTTCAAGTGAAATCATGAAATTCTCCCTCTTGAATAGTGACTTTTGCAGTATACCATCTCCCCCAAATTAAAAGCTCACTTTTTTCAAGGATAACTAATTTTTATTGATGAGAAACACTTTGCAGATATAAGCAGACACTTTTTTTATTCATATGACATTTTCAAAGTGTTCTTCTCAAAGATTAAAGATCCCAACATTCTGTTTTAGGAAGGCAGTTTATCCATTATAAGGTTCCCATCCTATTCCAAAGATGAATCGATTGATCATGTCGAAAGATCTCAGGGGCTGGTCATAGGGCAAAATATGTCCTCCACCTCGAATGATCACCTTGAGGAATGAAGACAAAGTGGAAAGTTTCCATTCAGATTAAACTATATTTAAAGCTTATATAAAATACAAAACAAGTCTGGGGGTGTAGTTCAGTGGTAGACACTTACCTAGAATGCCTGAGGCCCTGGGTTCAATCCCCAGCACCACAAATAAAAAAAAAAAAAGGAAAGAAAGAAGAAAAGAAAAGAAACAAAGAAAGACAGAACATATGCTACCAATTATCTTGTTTCTGACAATAGGTTCCTTAAAGGTAGGAAATTTTAAAAAATTTGTATAGTTACATGAGTTTACCTAAAGTTGTATTCATCTCTCCTGTGCATAACACTTGAAAACTGCTTGTCTTTTTCTGTTGGGAGTGATTTGTGTCCTCCTGTCCCCCAACTGGGAGTTCTGTGCTATAAGTTTTGTCTGGTTAGGCCCTGGAGGTGAGGCACTCTAACTCAGGCCAGGTTCACCTGGACAGAGGGTTCACTTCATTTCACCCTCCATTACCCAGCACAATTGACCCTTATACTGGGTGATTCCTGCCACCTTCGATTTTATCAGTAACAAAAGAAGAGTTTGATTTTCTCTTAATAAAAAAGCAAAAAGGAAAAAATCCTTGACACCTGAAATAAAAGTTCATTTTTTAAGCAGCACATTAGAACATTCATATTTTTCTAATATCATGTTATAAAAAAATTTCAAATACCCAGCAAATTTGGTTTAGCTTCCTTCATTAATATTCACTTTGCTTCCTCACAGATGTATGCCTGTGTTCATCTGACTATCCATTAATCCACTTGATCTGCTGACACATTTCAAAGTAAAATGGGGACATCAGTACAATTCCCCTAAATACTTCAGCATCATGTTATTAATCAGAGTTCAGTGCGTGCTCATAGCTTTTCTTCTTTTGGGTGAAGCTAAGATACAGTAAAATGTACTAGACTCACATGCAGGTTCACCAGTTCCAACAAATGTGGAATCTGGGTCACCCAAGCCCTGACCAGTTTGTATACAGTGGTCTTCAAGCATCTCTAGTTAATGTGAACTCAAATGGACAAGAGGGCCCACCCTGAGTGAGGCCCTATGTAGACAAAGAGGGATGCCTTTGTGCTCCTTAGGTATTGGTGTCAGCAAATATCCCCAGTGGAGGACAATGGGAAACCCTCATGACTCAATGCCTGCCACAGAAGCGGGAACTGACACTGAGTGTTGGGTGCCACATGTAGGAGAGGTCAGTGTGGCCTGAGATATCCTGCTTGTACGTGGAGAACGGACAAGAGCTACTAGCAGATTAAGTGAGGGGAACCATGCAATAAAGGTGACACTCTCAGTAACTTCTAGTTGCTAAGCACAATCATCAATCAAAGATAATCTTCTCAAGGCCCCTCATAAGAGGTTAGATTCTTACCTGCCTCAGTCTAAGGGAACTGAGCAAGAAAAACAGTACATTTATTATATTAACCACCCCCCAACACTCTTCATTTTACAGTCTTACTATGAGGTAAGTGGAATCAACGCGGTAAGATAAATTTTACCTTGCTACTCACAGCTGTCCACGCTGTGTACTGCACAACTACAGGAGGATCGTTCACATGAGCATCCAGGTGGTGGGACTATTTGGAAGAATGAGGTGGTTTGTCTAAATTGCACCCTTGTAAGTGAGTTAACTGGCTAGTCCCTGACATTTGATACAAATACCAGGGTTTTAACCAAATCACAGTACTCGCACAATGGTTGTTTACATTTGAACTGAGTTTTGTGACTTAGTCATGGAACATTTTTGGCCACCTCTCCGTAGCCCTCTGAGGTAGGTAAGGGAAGAAGACCACCATTCACAGGTGTGGGATTGGGTTGATCTCTTTCACATCGAAGTGTAAACTTCTGCATTGTCCTACACTTGATCTCATGGTCATCTGTGCCTTAATACAATGATCATGGAGCCCATCTACCATTTGTGTCCAAGTGGAGCGGGTAGAGACCGCTGCAAAGGGACAAAAGGCAAATAAACTTGGGGCCACTGAAAGAATAGTATGTGTTTTCTTCTGCCTCCAACCTTGTGCTCTCTCAACAGCTTTGCCATAAAACAGCAGATTAAGCTACAATTTCAGAATGGTTACAGAGTATGAACCCCTTGTGACTAAACTAAGCTAAAACTAGTGGACCTATACAACTCACAAACAAAAAAGAATTTTTACCAACCAAAAAAACCTAAATAAATCTTTTAGCTTCTCTTGCTCTTAGTTAACTTAAAAATCACTATTTTTGAGGTCCTACAGCTGAACAATACATTATTAGTTTCTCACTAGCTTGCAGTAGATAATACGTGTAGGTTACAATAACAGTTGCCTAGGGGACTTTGCAGAAAGTAAAAACAAGAAAGGCTGCTTTTGCTAAAAACATTATCTTCTAGAGACAACTTAGGTGACTAAAATGGAATAAAAGGCTTGGCCTCTCTGTCTTCATGTTGTATCTGTCCCTTTTGCTGCCTCAACCCTTTGAATCAGACTCTGCTCAGCTCTGTATGTAGACATATTGATCATTTGAGAAGTGTTTTGTCCAAGACTGTAATACAAGGCTAACTTGGTCTATTGCCTGTTGGACCTGTATATGTTTCTTCTACCCAACCCTTGAGGTTTCTCAGCAACATAAGAACATACAGCCTCAGCCTTATCATAATAAGGCCCAGAATACACCATGAATCCAGACAATGAGTAGCTCAGCAGTTCTAGCCCAAACACTGAAAGTCCTTTAATAAGACTGATAAAGCCAGCAGCAAGAAGAACTCCGTAGTTCCAGAGTTAATTCACCACTGGGAATCCCACCAAGTATGAGGGCGAACACTCGTGCATAAGAAGGAAAGCATCTTTTGCAACAGTACCCAGGACTAATGGACAATTACCAAACTTAAGCCCATTCCAGAGCATCAGATAAAAGCCAGCGTGCTCTCTGTGTTGAGTGGAGCAGCCTGGTCACCTCCAATCACTGCTGGCTCCCCACAGTTCAAGTTGAGGTGCAGGAGTTTTTTGTCTGTCTGGTTTATAACCTGTGGCTTGGTCTCATTTCTACTGTTTCCATGCCCATTATCTAGTATCACAAGTTTGCATCTGGAAACCCAACACATCCCATGTTTTGTTAGACTGCAAGTAAACGTGTACGGCTGGTGGAGTGGCTCAAATGCCTAGCAAGCGTGAGGCCCTGAGTTCAAGCCCCAGTATCGCCAAAACCAAAAAACAAAACAAAACAAAAATATGTGTGCGACAAGGATTCCTTCTCTAATTCCCCCATATCCCAGGCTAAAATTCTTGCCCTGCAGTCTTATCCAAATCTCTGGCCTTGGCAGGGATCTGATGAGGGATTTCTGGGTAACCGCGCCCAGATAAGGACACCTAATGAAGTCATCTGTGTGGCAAAATCCAGCTGCTTCACCTGAAAATTGTCCTGCCATTAATGAACTGGAGCAGCAGTGAACAGGATACCCAAGAGCTACAGTCACCCAGTCTCTAGAACCAGAGCTGCAGCTTAGGAGTGGCAGAACAGTACCTCGCAGATGGGGCTCAGGAGGTAGAGTGCAGAGGCAAGGCAAGAGGCACAGCAAGCTGCATGACCTTGTGCAACTAACAACCTCTCTGGGACTCCATTTCCTTAATTATACAATTGGGAAAGAAGTATTACCTTTGGGGTCATTATGAGCTGTGTGAGGGTTTAATGGAATAATGCCTGCAGACTACTTAGAACAGTACCTGGCCAGAGTAGTCAATAAATGTTAGTCATAAGTACTGTTCTTCTAACAATGATCTGTTTTAAAAACACAGATTCAAAGTGTCTACATCAACCTATCACCTTAGCACATTCATGTTTCCTACATTTTTATCAATAAATCTTGGCTTAGGGAAGTTGATTAGGATAGTGGTTCTTAAACTTGAATATGGATAAAAACATCTGAGCTGTCCAATTCTGAGGGCCCAAGGAGGGGCCTAAGAATGCGTTTTTAGCCATTCCAAAGTGCTGATGGTCCAAAGACTACTTGTTGAGAACCACTGATTAGAATTTTCTCTATTCTGTGGCAAAGCAGTGGATTTGTTAGAAATCCATTTAACACCTCCTCATGATGTCACCTCAGCTGATCTCTCCCTGGGCACCCCTGTCCTCATACTCACTCACACATCCACACTCCCACACACCTTCTACATCCATGAGAATCAAGTGGCAAAGAAGATCTGAGGGCATTGAGTGTCATTGTGCTTTCTCAGTGAGCTGCCTGATGTCATGACCCAATGACAGAGGACTTGGCGTCACCAAGATTGGAAAGAAAAGCTCCTTAAGGAACAAAGCCTACTTCACATGTCCCCAAATTCCCAAATAGTGTCCTCAAGCTGATTCACATACAGCATTTTTGTCAAAATGAACCTCAAAAATCAGTTTATGAGTGCTGAAAATAACCCACTCCATTGTTTATAGCCCAGCCCCACAAACTCACAAATCAACAACAGGAGCCACTGGCAGCTTTTAGAGGTGTGAATCAGAATGTGGCAGGGTCATGATTGCATATTTAAATGTGGCAAGATTTATCTCATGGCTCCCTGGATGGAAACGGCTGCATCACCAGAAACTATGTATTTTGGTTGCCTCTAAACTCATGTGTTCCAGATGTTCAGGGGGTCACAGATGTGCCATGAATTTAAAAGAGGTTATGCAAACACTTAAGTCTTCATTCCACTTTAGCTTTTAGAAAATGCTTCACTTTTTTTCTTGGCATCCAGAGATGCGGATTTGGCAGGAAGGGTTTCCAAGTTGTGCCATTTTCGATGCCAGGATGCAGAGGGACAACACTGATGCAGATGTGTGGGGGAGGTTTTAGTAGTCTAGAAGGACTCATCCCTGGATGGACAAGGGGAGGGAGCAGCAAAAGGCACACATGTGCAGTTGTCTGTAATCAGCCCCATTCATGAAGGAGTAGACGAAGACCCAAGGAGGGATGACAGTCAAACGCTAGTGGTACCAAGAGACAG